ACCCAAAGCCAAAACTAGAACTGAAGCGAGAACTAAACGAACAGATCTCATCTCTTCTGAAAATCTGAGTAAAAATACAATGCTAAAGAACATTCTGGATATATATTTACAAGAAAACCAGCCAAGCAAGCCAGGCCTTGGAATGAAATAAGAAATCCAAAAGTGTTATTTTAGAAGGAACGWTGGGAATCAATTTCACATCTCTCACTAACTTCTTTGTTACTRTCTTTTGTCTTCAGGATGTCTAAAATAACCTTTAAYAGGCAACACATGCTTTCTTAGTAAGCTGTTTTATTGGAAAAGTAACTGAACTCATAGAARAGACTAACTATTACCTATCCTAGTGACACTGGGACCTCTAAGAAACACTTGAATTTGGTCATATTTGCATTCACATCATATATTTTTGTTCATGATTATTCTCATTTTATTATTAATTATAATTGTAACTGTTTTCCAYAGCACAAAAATCAACACAGCGCAGYATATGCTATAAAATAAATACTAGTAACCGGAGAAGACTGATTCTGGCAGTTGCTGCTACAACGTTGCCGAGAGATGACATAAAACAACAATTGTTTGGGACATTTTGTGTCCAAAAAATGTGCATATGATCAAAGAGGCTCTACTTCTTGATGATATGAAGTCTATTTGACATTTTTAATTCCTACATAAAAATTCAAGTATTCATCAATCATGAGAATAAGAGCTGAGATACTCATGTTTGCTCTCAAGGCTAATTAATTATATCACTTAACACAGACCGACTTGGAATTAAAAAAAAAAAAGTGGTAAAATTAACTCGAACTTGAAATAACTAAATAGGTTTTAGTAAGATGACAGATTTAGTTTCACGTACAAGTGATGCTACAGACCGCGCTGTGGTTTGGCTTGCCTTACCCCGTCACTTTAGTGGCCATATCCAGGACTATGCTCTTCCAGTCCTGCTGCTCATACTGCCATATTCTTGCTGTTCCATCTCTGCTTCCACTGACAAATCTTAAGCTARAGGGGAAAAAAGAAAAAAACAAAAAAGTTATGAAACTCTGAGGAATAAATTCCTGCTGCTTTTGGTCTGGTTTCTGACCCTATTTTCTCACTGTTCCATAGCTTCCTTATGCAGGGTTCTGTCCTCAACAAGAATGTGCTATGTTGGGGAATGCTAAATCCTATGGCAGGAATATTTGGGAGCTTGGCAGGGGACTCATTGACCTCACAGGTCTCTACAAGCTCTTTTATTTAACTCTGTAGCAAACAAACACGTGTGTGTATGTGCATGCATATATACAAGGGCATATATATACACACACACTCATAAATGCACACTTGTATACTTGCCTGTGTGTATGTACATACACGCACATACACATATAGGCATGCACTTATTTTTCCTTATATGACTAAACATAACTGTACCAAACCAGTCATAAAATATCCATGAATAACTGTCACTGGTAAGAGGCAGTTACAAAATTTTGGCAAGCCAAGAGCATTCCCATCTGAAACGGCACAGAAACTAGAGAACATTTCATCTTTTTTCAACACTTATTCTTTACTTTGTACATCTCTGATCTGCAGAGCGTAATTAWAAAACAGTGAGGTTACAATTTTCATATCAGCTATGGTACAGTACAAAGCAGTTCATATCCCACAACATTAATTATGTTTGGTTACAGCCAACAGATGGCCTTGGAACAACTTCAGCGTCGTAATTCATACAAGCTGCACTTTCCCTTTTTAATGACATCAGCAAATCCCTCGAGAAGTTCATAGTGGCAGAAAAGAAAAGGGAAATACACGCCAGAAGTCTAGAATAAATTATAATACATTAGCTTAGGGAGAGGGCGAAGAGAGAGGAGGAAAATACCCGAGTGGAACAAAACTAAATAGCCCTGCTGTGAAGCTCAACACTTTTCCTTTTAAAAGTCCTCCTTGTTTAAGAAATTTTAAACATTCAGCAAATACTTTTAATTAAATCATACTGCTTTGACTATCAGCATTACAGAAATCATTTTTTGTTTTAGATTATACCAAAACTTTGTCAGGTAATGGGATTTCACAGGGCAGTCATCCCCTTAAAARTGTATGACATTTATGCATAATACTACATGTAAAAACGCAATTCTATACAATTTTATATTAATAAGTGATTGCTTCACCTTTTCAGTTCCCCTGACCTGATGTTTTCCCCTATGAGGAAGTGTTAAAAAATGCTTCTGGCAAGTTCCTGTTTTATTTGCTTTCAACAATTTCTGTCACTATATTAAAATGAATAGGAAGCCGTCACTTTTCCATCTGAGCATAATTCCCAACCACTATATGATTTCAAAATTTCATTGTGACTTGAGCACAGCTTCATTGTAACTTCATAGCATTTGGAAGGAACTGGTAGTTTAATTACACTAACAGTTTATTCCCATATATTTGTACATGACAAAGAACTCTCATGACCGGTGCAGCTACACTAGCTGAGCTACAACTTTGTTGGATGCCTCCTCCTCGCACACAGCCCTTACACGTTCTGCCAAGCAGAGCTGCTGTAGTCACACTCACAGCACGATGCTGATCATTGCACAGTGTTGATTACCAGCTGTAGCTCATGCTACCGCTGTCCAACACAGCTGTGTGACATATGCATCTGCCTACAGGTATCTATGAAGATTTCATCATGAAGAACCTGATTTTAATCATGGTAATAAGCAACACCACCCTGTCTTCATGGTATTTTAAAAAATGCACAGTTCTGCAGGTACGAACAGCTCATTTCATACATTTTSAGACCACTGGTTGGTGTTACTATCTGAACTAATTAATTGGGAATTCATTGATAGGCCTAGAAAACCACCTATTTGCCAGGCATGTTGTCAGTGGTAAAAATGAAAGCAAATGCAATAGATGCAAACCTACATATGTCATCCATCAACACTATGAGCTTCAATGAGGTTCTCACAAGGATCACAAAGCAGAACTCAATGAAGAAAAGCAAAATGCAAGGCAGCTGTACACCTCCCTTTTTTCATTATGCATTAAATTAACCCTGATGACAATATTTCCTTGCTGTCCTCATATCTCTCCCCGGAGAGCATACCAAGAACACACTCTGGCTGTAGTTGACTAGGCACTTGCAAGGAAAGGCTACAGAACCTGGTTCACAATTTGATCAGCCTAAAAATAAGAATCCAACAGTCACAGAACACTTGTCATTATACCCAATTTTCTCTGGAAAGTTATTTGAAAAAATAAATATCATACATAAAAATTCATACAGTGACAAATCCCAGGACGCCCACTTACCAGTCCCCGTTGTTACAGAACTGGACTGCAACTACTTTGTCCTAAACAGGGGGAAAACAAAGGGGGAAAAAACACAGAGTTTGTGAGCTGAAAACTCATCCAGAGTCATCTTCTTGATGAACTTCAAACAGGCAAATTGCATCTTCCCACACATCTCTTATAACACCCTCTTACAAATTAATGTCTAGAAAAGTCACATTTGAAGTCACAATTTCCCCAAACAGCCATATGGTAACAGTCATTAAAACTGAAAATCCAGAGGCTGGGAATTTGTGCTGCTCCTAGAGCCGCCCAGAGGCACAAGACTCACACTCGTGAGTCACGTTCCCCACCACACACAGCCCGCTGAGTGGGAAACTCTWAATCTCTTAATACTCCACCCAGGTGCTGGGAATAAGACAGTGATTGCACCGAGTGTCTCTTATGGGTAAAATACTACTTAAATTGCTGGGCTCAGAGCTCTAAAAGACCTAAACATGAGGCCCATGACTCCCATTGAGCTTCAGTGAATTAATTTAGGCCTCAGCCTATTGCTCCTGTAGGCAGAAGGGTTAGCCAGCTGCAAAGATAAATGCTGCAGACCCCTCACATGTGATAGCCCTATTGGTTCTGCTAGAATTGAGTTTGCAGGAATACTTTTTACCATGCACTTTGCAAACATCATGATTATGATCTGCTCTTGTTAACAGCTATGAAATAAAGACAGATTTGAGTCTACGTTAGTGACATTTTCTTATTACTGGGCTTATTAAAAATAATTTTAAGATTTCCTGGAAGGAAAAAAGGTTTTTCTGGGAGGACAAGGTATCCAAAATGCACTTTGAAAACATCCGTCTCAAAGGACTTTTAAAACAGATATGCTACAAATTTCAAGTTGTTTAAATATCAGTGTTGAAAACCAACCAAATTCTGAAAATAGAAAATAAGGTTGGATTTGTATASCATAGTCAACTATGGTATAGTCAACTTACTAAATAAGGTAAATTGGGAAAAAAAAATCTAAAGATTTGCTTTCCGATTCTCTTACCGTATGAGATTCTAGCTCAGCAATTTTCTCTGGAGATTCGGAGCCCAAATAATATATCCTTATCACATGGTCAGTGCTACCTGTTGCAATGAACATGCCACCTAAGAAAGACAGTGAGAAGAAAAGCAGCCAATGAACCACAAAGTTTAATCACTGCATTATTATCAGAGCAGCACATTACAGTGTGAAATAGAAAATTTCAATAGAATTTTAAAAAATAGCCTGAAAAAAAGTTACTATAGACTATTTTCCTTTGATCTGTAGTTCCTCAGACCATATCATGGTGCTTTCAGCACCAAACATGGTGCTTTCAGTCAGAAAGTAGACAGTAAAGAGTTTTAAAACCTCATGGGTCAACACCAGGCAAAAATATTTAAGTGAGTTTTCAATATTTATTTGAAGCTCAACAAAAAACAAGTATTGCTGAATCAGGAGTCAGAGACTAAACTATTTCTTCTACTGTTCATTTGTTCTCGATCTATAATATTGCACAAGCGGCTCTACTGGGCAGCTCAAGGCACTGAGAAGGTTTTAGCAAATCCAGAGATCCTGGTTTTAAAAAAGGAATGGGGTCTAAGCATCATATGGCTGTAGAACAGCTCTCAATTTCAGAAATCTTGTAATTTTGCTCTGTGATATCACCCTAATTTTTGAGAATTAAAAGCTGCAAATAAGCAGATATTTTCAAAAATATCCAGTTCACAGTAAGAACTTGCTCCACCACTGACAGATTGAATAGATTGTTTTAGAATTCCTGTTCAATGTAAAGAAAAAGCATTAAGCAGCTTAGTGACCAGCTGTTCCCTAACGAGATAACCCAGTGTCGCCCCTGCACTTCTAGGCTGGTACAAACTCAGTTATTCCRTCAGGAAGCTCCACGTGCAGCCTGGTTAGCAGAAGGAGAGACCGAGACTGCTCAGCACAAACCTGGGACTGGGAACTGGGAATGACTGAAGGGCTAACACATTAAGAAGAAGAATTGATCCTCCAAGAATTTAGCCAAATTCTCAAAAATTAGCAGAAGTGTCATCTTTTAAGCAGAGGCCACTGTCTGCCAGATTCCAAGAATTTTTCATTYCAAGAGAGGACTCAACATCAAGAAAAGTGTAATAGGCAGCACAACAGACTGAAGGCCTTAACCTTCCTCTGAAATGGTCAAGATATTTAAACAAGTAAATAAATCCACATAAGCAAATAAATCCGCATGAAGTGGATATTAGCAGTTCAAACAATCACAACTGGACAATGTTGTAACTAACTGAAGATGTGTTTAATGACATTTTTATTTAAAACCACTTAAAGCCCTGTCACCAAGTGAATTATTATTCATATAACACTTTCCTTCACTTTATAATGCATACATACCCGAACTGAAAGAAGAACAAGATATCTGAACACCAGGCCTGGACCTCTCTGCAAATTTCACAGGGCGATCCCTATTTTCAAAAACACAACTTTTTAATTTTTTGCAAGGTCAACACACCCATCCTACAATCCTCTATTTCAGAATTCATACTCAAATTTGCTATTGCTTACTTTTAATTTACAAAATAAGCAAGCCACCATTTTTCTAAATTGAAACTTATTTGTCATTCCACTCACCAACTCAGCCAAATTTAGAAAGGAAGCTGGGGAGCTACTGGGCTACTCAAATTGACTCCCTAATGACTGTGGGTTGATGACATCTGCAGGTGGGTGGTGTTCTCATTAAAAGCACTGAAACTTCTTTGCCTAAACATTTTAGAGAACAATGTGCTCCTAAACAGAAAAGCTGAATGTTCTTCCACAACACTTGCAAAGAACAGAAATATTAGTCCATGTCTGTGTCTCCCTTCTGGCTTGTAATAGCAGTACATCTACAGAGGGACATATCCTCAGGAAACTTGCTCACTGAAAAGGGACACATCCTTATTTAACCATCCTAGTGTTCCTCTTCACTCTAAAATTGTAAAGAAATAGGGTCTATGTTTAAAATAATTATAATTATCTAAACAGGCTTACTTAAATTTCACGGTGTTAGCGTGCCACTGCCAGAAACAGATTGTTCCGTCAGCACCAGTAGAAGTGAGGTATCGTGTTGTTCCTTTTCTTGCTGGAGAGAACTAAAAATAAAATTGTAACAGTTAAATCAGCTAACTTCCTTCTTCCCTGACATGCTGGAAACTCGTCAACAGCCCTAACAAGAAATCATGTTTCATGATGAACATACTTGCTATCCAGCTGAGAGCAGAGACCCGTGTCAGGAATAAGCACAAAGTCGGAACTTCCATAAAAATACAGTTGTGAAAAGAAAGGATAGCTACATTTTGATAGGTCTGTTTTACCCCTCAAAACTCAGGAAAATGAAGAAATGAAACAGAAATCCAGACCTTCTTATTTAAGCAATGAAATGAGAGAATACTTTTTGCTAGCAGCAGAACTGGATCAAACACAGTGACACAGCCAAAAATGATTTCTAGATCCAAGTGCAGCAAAGAGCAGCAGCCCCCTTGGATCCTGTTCCACCCTCCTCAGAAACTCTTCTCTGCCTCCCTTGGTAGTAAAACTCTTCATCCTGCAGTTAAAGGGTTTCACTTTGATTTCACAGCTGCAGCAATAACTTGAATCCTCTGGCTACTAGATAAACGTATCGAGCAYGATTTATATTAAAAGCAATGAGTAATTGGGGTGATTTGTTCTGATTCTGATTATTTTCTATAGTATCAGAGTTCTATAAAAGTGTAGGCAGGTTATAAAAATAAAAAATGTGCAGAATGAGGCTGTGATATACACAGCCTGCAAAATAACATCTTAAAATAAATCACCTGTAGATTACCTAAATCAGACAAAATGGGAAGTGCAGAAAACAGGAGGAGAAATCCCAGGCACGCTGGTGARAGCTGCTGAATCCAAGGCAGCGAGACTGCCGAAGGAGGGTGCTGCAAGCAGCATTTCCCTTCAATGTGCACAACCTGGCAAACTGYGGAGACCTTTTCTCTCTTCAGGAATTCATTTCTGTTGGCTGCTTCCATCTGTCCTTTTTTTTTTGCTGATAAACTGCAAACTACCAGGCACCACTGACTGTGCCACCTCCAGAGAACTAAAGAGCAGCAGTTCAGTCATTTCTTACAGCTCTGCTACTGCTCACTGGGCAGTTGCCACGTAACACCTGAAACTGCTGGGCCACAAGTGCAGATTCTCGAGCAGAACCTGTTCTGCACTGTGGCAGCTGCAGCTTCTTCGCATGCTGCAATATCCAGGACAGCTCCTTTAAACAGAGACTAAGAYGCATTCCAAACAAAGCAGCAATGCAGAAGGAGGACGTTTAGCAGGCAGCATTTCTCAGGAAAAGAGGCCCCGAAGGATTTACGGAGATGTTGTTGCTCACCTGTATGGAAGTAATGGAGGCCGAGTGGCCCTGCAGCACGGCAAGCGGGGCGCACGTGCGGAGACACCAGACCCTGACCACTTTGTCACAGCTGCCCGCCGCGAGCAGCGTGTTCTCGTAGTTAACGGCCATGTCGGAGATCTCGGCCGAGTGTCCTCGCAGCGTCGAGAGCAGGCGCCCGTCATCTGTAGCCCAGATTTTGACCAAACAATCATCTGACCCCTAAGGCCACACAGAAATTTCCAAAGATTATATAAAATAACATACAGAGTACACAGTGTAGATGCCTAAGAAGCTAAAGCACCACCAGGAAGCTCCCAGGAGGAGACGGGTGGGATCCCAGGCAGGCACAACCACCTGTCTGAAGGTAGGGATTGCCTTGTGGCCTCYGGGATTTAGATGTTCCTGCAGCTGAAACCACTGGTTTATATCTCATATTGGTATGTTTCAGATGTTCAATATTGTTAGTGCTGCCAATGTAACTTGGCCCAGTATGGTTCAGTAATAAGAAAGGCAAATTTAAGAAGATAAAAGTTTCATTACACGCTGTAAGTAGACGCAGTCTGTGCTCAGAAGGGAAATCAGGCTGATCTCAGGACTTAAGGTCTAAGCCAAAAGAGCAAGAGCTGCAGGGCAGCAGCGGGAGGGTATCGAAGCACCCAAAGAGAGAAACTGCCCAACCTCACGTGCTGCTCAAACGGCAGAGAGCTTGGGCAGGGGCAGCATGCAGCTCTACAGGATACTCGGCACAGGTGCTTGTAAATTAATTTAACCTGCATTAGCAGCTATATTACTTCATACTCGAACCCTGTCAACAAGTACAGGAATTTTTCAAGAGCTCACAATCCTTTATGCAATTTAGATATCACAAAAGCCACTAGTTTTGCTGCTAATTTCCAGGAAAAAAATAATCCTTGAGCAGGAAAAAGCCTCTTGAAGCAACTGAGTGCTGGATTWGAGGCGCAGCCTCCATCTCTCCAGGGTGCTGCTAGGACACCATGGTATTTTAAGGAAAATGATGCAGTAAAACTAAACATATATGTCAAGATGATTCAATTTTGAATTATTTGACTGAAGATTTACTGATTAAATTATATCATTTTGACTTTAAATTCATAGACAAATTTGTTGCAGCATTTACATAACTGCAGACTTTCTATGGTATAAACAAAAATAGAAAGGCCTGTCTAATACTTAGTATAATTACCATAAYAACATATCTATTTGACCAATTTATAGTAAACGGAGAAGGTAGCAAGATAACACAAAGACAGCAAATAACCTTCCCAGTCATGCTTCTGAATAGCTACACTGCTAAGAGGGAAGGCTGCTGAAAGAAAAAGAGCAAGGAAAAGATGACAGGAATTAATATTAACAGTTAAAAGATGCCATATTAATTTGAAAAATCCAGAATTAACAAATACTATAAAAAGCAAGGGTAATATCACCTACATGTTATATTCCAGAGATTTCCAGTTTTGGTTACAAGCTCTGTATTGAAACAACATTTTTCTAAGGTTCTAAATGCAGAAGCAAATAGCCTGCTAAAATGCAGTTTAAGGGAGTCACGAGCATTTTTAAAAAAATGAAAAAGAAAAGAATCACACAGAAATAGACAATTTTYCCCAAACATTCCAAGGTTTTCCTCTCCTTCTCTTCTGGAAATTGCAGCTGCATCTCAAGGAGCAATTAAGAGGCTGTTGTAGAACTCGGAGAAAAAAAAAAAAAAAAAAACCCACACTAAACGTAGCAAATCAGCCTTCCAAGTAAATCACAGTTTCTGAACTTACTGTAAAAATTCTTCTCCCACTGCGATCAAAGGCTATGCAGTAAACAGACGAGAGGTGCCCCAAAATCCGCTTGTGCATCTTCATGTGCTGATAGGTGGATGTTGGGAACAGGTGGCTGAAACGCCCACATCCAGTTAACTGCCTGGCAGAAATTATATTTACTGCCAAAACAAAAGGAATAAGAAAACTAAGATTTCAATTTTATCCGGAACTCCAACTAGGTTAAAATTAAATCAAGCACAGAATTTGATAACATCTTTTAAGAGCTTTACTACTGCAATWCATAAACTTGAACGTCTTTAGTCTTCTTAGATCATTCTGCGTGCTCTCCTGTAAAAGGTAAGCCCAAACCTGAGGCTGCCTTTCAGCATCTACCCTGAGACACAAAGCAGAACTTTCTTAACAAAGATTAATCCAAGTAAGGAGTACTCCAGTCAGGAATAGGATGGGCAATCCTAAATCTAAAAAAATCCTCAAAACTCACAGAAAAGAGTATTTTTCAACTTCAACTTTTACACAAATATGTATATGCATATATGTTATACTTATTTAAATGCTACATGCTTTTATATAACATTTATATAGACATATAARTGTATCTGAAATATGCATTTAAAGTACATTTACTCCATGTCTCACAAAAATAACTTGAATAACAGATTCTGCTACACAGAGAAACTYGCTACAAATTTAAGGATTTTTTAAGGAGTATTTTCAATAAATAATATTTAAACATACGACAGTACAAGCCATTTTCTGCAGATTTCTTGATAACTGACTACTTGGAAAACAGTTATGCTTTGTTGTGAATGAAAGATACTGAAGATCTTAAATTACTTATAGTAACAGAAAATACTGTACAGTTTTACTCTTACGGTTTTGGATGGCATTTAGAAAGTGACAGAAATACTATTGTCTTTCAAAAATAAATATTTTTAGTGCTTCTTCTGTTATGACAAAAATCTTTCTTCAGAGAGGGTTCCAGATCATGTGGGAGGGTCAATGGCCCTCGCAACTGTCCCCCACAAAACCTCTATCCCTATAAACAGTAGCTCCAATCTAATTTCATTTTGAGGAATGAGAAATGCTGGTACCAGCGGAAAGAGCCTTCATCAGAAAGGTGACACCCRCAAAACAAACTGCCGAAAACCCCTGCACATTACTTCAAATTGCTCTACTTAAGTCTCATACAAAACCAGCCTGTAACTTAAATGCACAAAACATCAAGTAAAAAACCACTATTAGCAGACTCAAGAAGATAACTACGAATCTCATTTCCCTGCCTAGCAGAAAGATTCCCTATCCTAATTCGAATCTTTGATTTGATGCAGATTCTCATAACTGCTTGAGGCATTTAATTGTACCTGTCCTAATTTATAGCACTTGAACTTTGGAGCTTTTTTTAAAGATGCTTCAGGATCTAACATGAGCGAGCAGGTGGGTCTCGCAGAGCACTGGCAATAGCAGCTTTCCTGGGCTCCAAAGTGCCCCACAACTCTTCCATTTAATACTGTGGCAAACAATTTGACCCATTTTCTTAATTGTATCATCCCATCATTGCCTACATAAAACAGATTACAGCAGATGTTTAAAAAAACAAGCAAACAACAACAAAAAAAGAGTCATTCCAAAAGGATTTCTAACTGGCAATACTCTTCTGCATCATTTATAAGACTGAAGTCTTTATACACAAGCAGACAGACAAATGGGCAATAAAAATTCATTGTTTCCAGATTTGCAGAAAGCATTTATTTTGGTTCTCAGTTATATGCTCTGAAACACAGTCTATTTTTAATCACTCGGGGCAATACAAACACTACAGAAAAGAAAAAAAAAAGCTGCATAAAAGATATGCATATTTGCAAAAATCATCAGGCTCACACCATGACCTTATCTTCAGTCAATATTTATTTTTTCATGTTAAGATACATATTCAGCAGCACTAAAGCAGCAAAACGCACTGAACCAACTTAATCTGCYTTCTACCTGCGACTGGAGCAATAGCTGGGGTTCAGCTGGCAGCTGTTAAAGCAGAGTTGTCTCCCCTAGGAAAAAAAAATGGAATCTCGAGCCCTTTTCTCCACCTCTCTCAGCAGAGCCGCAGATCCTGCTGTGTTAGCAGGGATGCCCCCAAATCTTGTTACCAACTGGCAGCCTCTACCAGCTTATTCTTTACTCAGAAACCTTGGGGCCTCCAAAGCACCCACTGCTGCCCCACATCACCTGCCTTATTCTMCCCTCAGGAAGGGCAGATTTCTGAGCTCAGACGACACGTGCTTTGGGTCACCTGGTAAAATACATCCATTTTTGGTGTCTTTCTCACAGCCCTTGGTCTTTGGGCATACACAGTTAGTACACATGTGGTTGCAGAGGGAAGTCTCACACATGGTACAAGGCTAGGGTACCTACAGCGAATTCTTAACTTGGTCTCCATGCTACAAGAAAGGATAACTTCCATATAAAACATTTACCAGGACACTGATGTAGGAAGAACAAAACAAACAAACAAGCAAAAAAAAAGGAAAAAAAAAATACAAATGCTCCCAAACCAGACACTAGGAATTACAAGGCTAAGTTACTATTTTAAAAAGAATTAAAACATTCCAGTTTAGCTGCAGCCATTTGCMGACTGCTTTAATCTGACTTCCTCTCTCTAAACTTATGCCTCAACCTGTTTTTTTGCAAACAAAAAAATATATATATATAAAAATATATTGGTAGAAACATTTGTGTCAAAAATATTTTCCCTRGTATTAAGGGTAAATACATCACATCATACTATTTTACCTTTTCAAATAAGCCCTGTAACTTAGCAATGCAAACRTAGTACTATATATAGTTGTGACACAGGGACAGCTTGGTGCCTCCTCACCATAGGGCCTGGTCTGCACAGAGCTGGGCATCTCTTGCAGCATGCAGAAGAAACAGCCTGAATTTCACATGAACATCRGGAAACAGCCACAGGGGGTTCAAACATTTGCACCTTTGTGGAGGGCAGGCAAGGAGCCACGTGGACAAGCAGACTTGGGGAAAGGGGAAAGCATGGAGGCAACATAAAGTCCCCGCTCTCGTAGCCACTGACTTCGCAGGCTCCTTTAGAGAGCAGGAACGTCACGGATTTTCTAATCTCATCAAACCACTGCTACGTGGCAGAGTTAAAGATTACCTTGCCTATATATTTTCGTATAGTTCAATTTCTTGCACTGTGAACTTTCTGGTTCAGAAACCCAAGACTAATTCTCTAGTCATAGCTACCCACACAAGTATTTTCATCCGCAGGATAAAATCCTATTATAATCTTGGGGTAATCGCCTAAAGAGGGAAAATGATCTTCTTTCTAAACCAATTTGTGTAGTCTGCAAAGAAAACAAAGTTCTCCAGCACAACCCAAGTAAGAGTCCAAGTCATCAACCCGCATGAGTGCATCACAGCGGTCATAAAAATCTTCTCAATCACCTTCTATTTCCTGATCAGAAGACCACAAACTAAAAATTAAGATGTAAATTCGCCTGGCCCAGATGGAAAGCCAAAGACTGCAGCTACAGACCCAGAGCTGCAAGGGAACTGCGAGCAGCCTCGGCTCAGGGCAGGAACACGCCATGGCAGCAAGCTTAAATCGGCGTCACGCAGCAGGAAATGCCGTAAGAATTCTTTTACCTGCTCTTCCTGCACCTTATTTACATGAGTGCAAGGGAAATTATGCAATCATTTTGTTTCTCTCATGACCACACGTTATTATGGGTGTACGATACCTGTTCCCAACTCCTTCAGCAAGTTATTCCAGAAAACGTCAGCTGTCTCAGCCTGACTAAGCCAGTGCTCCGGGGCAGCTCAGTCACGCTGAAAGCTGCGGGGACAGGGCAGGGTTCAGCACCTTGCACTGCCAAACCAAGCTCACGCATCGCAGCATCTCCCACCAGAAAAAGAACCAATTTTGCCCCTTCATAGAATTCAAGGTAGGTATGAAGCTCGCCTTTGAGACAGCAACCTAACTAAGCATCAGGTAATAACAGATGTCCTCATCACAGCACTCTCAACACTCACTTTACAGCTTCACCACTATCCAACACGCGCTTTAGCTTTACAATCTACTACTTGCAATGCAAATGTGCAGAAAAGAAATTTTGATTTCCATTTCAGGAGTTGGGAATCTCAAAAATCATCTCCTTAGACATGCACAGTATGTGCATAGTCAATTTTCCATATTTTAATCTTTACATATATTTTCTCTCTTACTGTTAACTTATGAATGTACAGAAAAAGGGGCTGTCTTCCTCCAGGAACAAGTATTTATAAAAATAAAGTCTTAGGTAGAAAAGTTTCCATATGCAACTGTTGCATGTCTTACATACCAATCCCTGGGAAAAGAGCAACAATTTATTCTGTTCTCTAAGACATTATATTAATTCTATACTAACAGCACTGTCATGACGGCAAATGCTAAAGCTTGATACACTCCTATGGTTTATTAACAATATTACAGCTTTCAGAGCATGCAGTCTAAATCTCTTCTTATTAAAGATTTCAACAGAAACCCGTATAAAAATATAACTTCTATGGAAGTTGAGTGTATGCAGTAAATCCATAATCCAACCTCTTAATAATCCATCGACACAACTGCCAACAATAAAGTAAGTAACTTCAGCAGCAGTCTAAAAGAAAATGTGAAAATACACAGAAGGAGCAAAACTAACCGAAAGGAATTATTCTTTCTTTAGTATTCACATTACAACTCAAACTGTCTGACAAAAGCAGGAAAATTACTAATCTAATGGTTGTCTATGCACTAATTCTATGCAAATATCCATTTCTTTTCCATAAAGAAGATCCATATTAATATTGTTCTTCTTTCATACTATTGCCAAAACCCCATAGACCTTATGCAAAGTGGACTACTATTTTCCCTAGCTTTATCATCATTTTTGGCAAAGATTAATTGTTAGGAATGAGAGAAAGACCAGAGAAACACAAGGGCTGAAATTGATACAAGAGATATCTAAGATGGTCATCATAATTCTTGCATCTTCAAAGGAAAAATTGGCATGGAGGAAGGAACTTACTTAAAGAAATAGAGCAAGGATTGCAATCAGTAAGGAAATTATCCTAATTACTTTCAATATTCTGAATTTAAATTAAATGATGGATGAAGATCAAGAAAAAGACTTCCCATTACATTTTGAAACTTTTCCATTTAACAGCAAAAAGGAACTTAACTGAACAGATAACCTAACAAAACAAGTCTATGGATTTGCCCAAAAATTTATGGAGTGAATAAAGATAAAATATATTAACAAAAAGCAAATCATGACAGACTGGACTTGCTGGCATCATCATGGCAATCAGATCATGCCAAATCATGGCAGAGTGGACTCAGGCATTCCTGAAAGGATCCAAGTTGCTTGTTTTAACAGTGGCTAATGAAAGTTTAGACTTTACCAGGGAAACATTTTCCAGATTAAACAGAATACAGAAGCTCTCAGATGGCTGATATATGTTGATGTTTCACACAAGTTATTTTTCTGACCACGCAGACTACCAAAACAGAAGTAATGCAAACACTGGGCTGGTTATTTCCTTTTTGGAGAATAATGCTGCAAGTAGTCTGTTTTCTGTCATAAACAAACTAAAATGAATTATTGAAGCAAAATGTTCGCTTGGAGCCAGACATTGTGTTTTGGATAAGATTCCTGAATGAAAATACTGTCTACACACTCCTGTGACYACTTCTGTTCAATCACATAGTCCATAACAGGTTGGGGCATCATTAAAAGAAAATATTTAAACTATTGCCCTGCAAACAGAAGCTTGACCACAGCAACCTAACATGCTCACACACACACTATGGAGGTCTTAAGTAGGCATGATACAAAAAAACAGTTATTCTATTGAACGCGAGATTCTTTTTGGATTAGTTCACAGTTCAAGAAGAGCCCTTAATGAAAATCCAGTCAGTAAGAGTAACTTTCAGCTTGAACATTAGCAAAGACACAGGGAAGACGAAGCACGTTATTTATGTTTCAGAACTCACCCACGTTTGGTGGTTTCCCATAATTCGCAGGCAGTTCGGGAGGCCGCCCTCGGTGAAGAGCTGCGAAGGCAGATCCTTTCCATAGCGTGTGCCTGAAGTCTGCAGCGACAAGAGTACCAGCTGGTTAGTGAAACCATAGCCAAGCTGGGTCCAGCTGACCTGTTCCTCCTAGAATAGGAAGATTTCATCTATTCCTTCTATTTCCTTCCTAGAATAGGAAGGATTCCATTCCTAACTTCCTTGCACATCATGCCCTGTCCTTCAGGTGCAACAGTTCTCTTGAAAAAATAAGATTTGCTCTTTTTAAATACCTCATGTAAATTTAATGCTTAAAGGATGTTGAAAATCTGATTCTAGTTACTATACAAGATGACTGTAAATGTTTTCAGCTTTTTTTCCCCCCTTCACTTTTGGCGAGTAAGGCGTATAAATCTGATTGAAAGAAGAAAGAAAAATTGAGGCAACACTGAACTTGGGTACCATTTTAGTCCCTCTGCATTCCTCAGACATAGAAGACCCTGTATCATCTGTGCAAGAACTGTACATTCAGCAATATACATACACACACACACATTTCACCCCATATTGGGAGAAAGGAATTTTTTTTTTCAGTAAATGTTTTCCCGTAATTGGTGGCAATGTGCCTTCCCTACAGCTTCTCCTCCGCACCCCGCTCCCCCCCAAAATACCATCTCTAAAATGAAGAGAGATTTCTTTAAAGGCTCTCCAGCTCCCTGTCACCAACTGGCCTCCRAGAGCCTTCTTTCAAGAACAATATTGATTTTCTGAGACTGTTCAGAGCGCCTCAGAAATTAGACCTGGACTTCTTCCATTTCTGGCCATCTGGAAGGAGAGAAAGGAGCTTCCAGGATGAATGAGAGCTGGAACAGAAGGACAGTGCCACAGATCACTGAACCTGTGTATCACCATGTGGACCTGCAAGCATGAGGTGCACAGGTTTCTGTAACTCAGAGCAGACCCCTGAGCCTGCCTTCCTACTAAAACCTAAGCTTTGCGGTGGACTGTTAGGTCACTGAACTGGAAGGTCCTGCTCCCTGCTCAGGATGATGCTCTTGCTCTGGCTGTAACCTCCGGCACTTTCATCCTTCCATGTGCTGATTTAATTCATTAAAACAGATTTTGCAACAGTTGAGCTCTAAATCAGCTAACCTCAGGATCAAATAAGCTCTGGTTACTACAAAGGAAGAGTGAGGGGGTGCAAAGAACAGAGAGAGGTGAGGAACCACTCTCAAGAGCAGATGACCCTCCCACACACTCAGCTGTAACACAAAAACTGCCCTTCAGGATCATTATCTCAAGCAGGACAACTTTTCAAAAGGACTATGACTGCTCCTCTATTCATGAAAGGAATGAGGATGTCATCAAATTATCTATTAAATGATGGACAGGAGAAATTATCATGGAAGCAGCAGTCCCACCTTCTCCTACCCTTCAAATGTTTCCCTGCTCTTCAAGCTGACACACCTGGCTGCATGACCAGTGAATCAAATAATGGAATAAATCAGGCTGAAAAATAGCCCMGCAAAAAATATTAATTGCTGGGTTATGTTAGACACACACATATATAAGTATTTTTCACATACATGTAAAATAAGCCAGTTATTTTTCTGCTGGACGAGATCTCTAATCCAGTTTATCACATAGCTCACACAAGCACCCGCCCAACACGCTGGGCAGGGTAGAATAAGAAGCAAGATCAGCAAGTGTAGATCACAGCTGCTTAAGATGGCACTTTTCACCAAATAAACTTATATGTATGTATATAAATGGAAATGTTACAGGAYCAACAGCGCCTGTATTTTAGCAAGACTGCAACAGGAAAGCAGGAGCTGACAAGCACAGGAGATAGATCAGGTTTCACAAGCATCACATTGTAAATCAAAAGAAAAACTTTTTTTGCCATCATCCATAAATATAAAATCTTACCTTTTGCTGCCCTTAACAGGGACTGTCGCCCGACCCCTAGCAATGTCTGCACACCAAGAACACTCTGCGGGATCTCCTTGTCTAAAAGGGGTCCAAGTCTCTCACAGATCCGAAGAAGATAATCCGGAGGGATGTGTGCATTGACGGCCACCTATACACACAAACAAGACACGTGTTAACACGTCTGTTCAAATGCATGGAGCACTGAAAGAACCAGCACCTCCTGCAATAGCTGTGACTGCAGCAGGCATCCAAAACTCCCAAAACCCAGCACTTTCCGTGCAATGCCCTGAGCAATGCACTGCTTGGGGATCCTCCTCAAAAATCAGTTTTATCGTGCAAATCATTTTTTTAGAATACAATATTTCTTGTTTAGCTGAAAGATCAGACATTCCTATTCCAGTAAGATGCACACGTGTAAAAACCTAAAAGATCTAAACRTTACCCTGAGAGCAAAAGCCAATGTCAAGTGTTTATCTAACAAAAATACGTCTTCTTTTTAAGACTCACATACGTAGAGTGCTAATTTATCATCCCAAGAAAACATTCTTCTTTTCCTCATTACACAGAGATAGTTTGTTTTCTTTAGTGACTCGTATTTAAAGACTATTTAGAGAGTAATAGTTTTTCCATCATTCTGTCCAAAGAGCAAATAAGTCGTGTCTGGTAACGCAGAAGGTCCTGCACCTGCCTGACTTCTAAGGTATCTGCTGGCTGGCAGCAGGAACTGCGCACCAGACATTTAGCTTATGCAGATCCTTCAGCACATGRCATATGGTCACATTCATCTCCTTTTTAAAGACCAACAACACAGGTCATTCTGCTCTTACATACATGGGACTAACAGCTGAGGGGAAAAAAAAAAAAAGAAGATACTTAGATATTTGTATTAGGACAACTTATAATCTGTTTGCATCTGTTTGTTGCAATATTATGAATGAGCAGATGATCATAAAGCAGTTTTTATTTTACCAAGCAATAAACTAATGTCAGATAATAGCAAAGCAGCTCCAGTCTGGCTGAGAGGTGACTGAGCACCCCTGCGCATCAGCCCTACTGCTCGGGTACTGCAGCAGGAGCYGCTCAGCTTCCCTGCCCAATGAGCACAAACCCAACAGAAAGAAAAAAAGGTTTCTGAAGGATCAGCAACCATTGCCATGGACCCAGACAACTGTCAGAGCTGCGAGAAAGGAAGGAGCGGACCTTTCTTCTTTATTTGAAACAGCAGATTGCCATGAACTTGGCCCAGCAACACTGCCAAGCTGGACTCACAGGGATATACCCAGCTCTTGCCCAAGCACGTGAGAGGCAGCAGCATAGAGCTGGAGGAAGGGAAACAGCAGGAAGGAAGGGACCCGCTTCGTACAAAGAAATGTTCCTTTAACTATGTCATTAAACAGATTATTAAACATGTCATTGAGAAGTCATCCATTCCAATTGGGCAACGGCAGTGGTGCTATGCAGCTCAGAGCAGTGAGTCATGTTTTATAATGTCCCAATCTGCATCACAAGCAGCACCAACACTGTCCCAGAAAGCCACAAATATGACTTTAACCAAAGAGAAAACAGCCTTTTCTAATGACACACGAGTTAACCAAAAGCCAGCAAAACTCTTCCAGGCTCAACAGAAACTACAGCGGAGAGTCAGGATTCTCTGCCCTTTAAGTCACTGCTTGTTGAAGATGCATATATGTCAGCAAGTCGCGTGGACGTTGAGCTCTTCCAAAGCTCTGGGCTGTTGTTGGGAATGGCAGAATYGTTCCCCAAATTACAGGCAAGGTCAGTGCCCTGACTGCGCTTCCACATGGTCCTACTCCAGGAACCTTCACTCCGGAGCATCCCAAAACAACCAGCSCTGCCCAGTGAATGCTCCTTCTGCCACTGGTTTCACCGAGCAGAACAGGGTCTATCCTGACTTCTCTACAAAAATTCAGCTCTCATCTCGCACTAGCACCTTCCCAGCTGGACAGTCACTTAGAGATCAGTGGGCAAGAGTGATTTTTCTTTAATTGGAAATGACATGATACAACAGAAGTCAAAATGAGATAAAAGATTTATGTGAACTTTCACAGTTGCCTGTTATTCCTACCTCATTCCTGAAACACTGTAAATGTCTTAACAAAATATCTGGGCTTGAAGTGAAGCCGAGACAAACATTCAAAACGAACAAAGTTGTCTTTTCACGTTCCCAAAAGAACTTGACACAAAAACTGCTCATGACACTGCAACTCTCCAAAAATGAAGCTACAAACATACAGCCAGGGACAGCAGAAGTCTCATAAATCTCATTTTCATTAAAAGAGGGGCAGAAAAAAGCAAAGCATATCTTAGTTACAACCACATCTTCTACTTTGTTTTAGTCCAAAACCCTTACTGCAAAACTAAATAGCAATAGGGATATTATCACCTCATCAAACACACTAGAAAATGGTAACACAGGCCTGAAACAGGCTTTATAAAGATTTTTTGAAAGAGAACATCATTTCCCTGGTATTTTAAGTTAATACAGATGAGCTGAAAACACCCTAAGCAACAGCAGGATCCACATACTGGGATACATTACAAAGAAAAAATGTTCTTTTGCCTCAAGGTGTAAAAAACCCTTTAAAGGTTAAAAATGTCAGAGCATGAGAATCCCACAGCACCGCAGAAGAGTCTTGTGATACAAGAACTGCACAAAGCTTTACGTGTCTAAAACTTATCCAGAACTGGGCAGAGTGAATCAATCCTTTAAAAATCTACATTAAAAAAACAGCACTGAACGTAACACAATGATACCAGTATTAATTAGTGTGTGAGTAAGTTGCTACACAGATAAGCGCTGCAAGCAATGGGGAACTTGCTGAAGTCAGCGCTAGGACACAGGCCTATCCCTAAGCCTGTTTATTTTTCCGTCGGAATTACGATAGAATCGGCAAGACTACTAAAGCAAGAAATCATCCCTGCACAGYTAGGACAGGCCAGAAATGTGTTGGTCCCCATATCAAACAAACCAGCCCCGCTGGCTTCATTGCTGATAAATTCTCCTCCAAGGAATGTTTCAAGAAACAAGCCATAAAAAGAGTATTTGTGATTATTACTTATCAGAAGACGACGCCTGTCTTCCCAGGAATTAGAATCAGGTAGCTCCGATGATCTGTTTTGGGAAAGCCAAACTTCCTGCAGAGCACAGGGAGCCCGTGTGACGGGGGCCACGCGGACGGCAGCGGGGGGCCTGGGAGGACCCCCCAGGCCGAGCTCTCCGCACGGGCAACGAGTCGTGCAGTGGCAGCAGCAGATTGGGAASGTCCGAGCGCCGCCAGCCACGTGACGCTGCCTCCAGTCGCCAGAACAGCCATCAATTGACGACTGTATCAACAAGCAGCAGAGAAGACCATGAGGCCCAAAAGGGCTGAGCAAGCAGGAAATTACTCAAGACCTTGAATGTGGAATCTCAGCACAAAGGAAGACCAAATACTAGACTTGCACAAGACAGTGATTTGCAAAAATACATCAATTCTAAAAGCCATTACCCACTCAATTTCTCCATGCCACCAGATGACATTTTCCCAGGTGACAGAACTGCATTATCTTTCTGCTGCTAATACTGGGATTGGCAATATCTATAAATAACAACACCTCAGCCTCAGAGCTAGTTTAAATCAATGCAGATGGACAAGGCAGAAACTCAAAGCCAAATCCTATAAGCTGTTCCACACTAGCACAGCCACTCACAGATAAAATTCTCGACTTGAATGCACTGAGGATCACTGCCCAACAAAAGCTAATTTTCTATTTTTTTTCTGGAAAAAAAAAAGCATGTAATTTCAGCATAGAYAACAAAACCAAGTTAGCCAGTAGAGACAGTCCATCTGAAAGTTCTGGAAAACCAGGTCACGGTCGGTCATCTCTATCGGGAATAAACACAGCTAATTTCTAACAACATCGCACTGAGACTGTTCTGATACTGTAGGTTAATTCAGTTTGAGTTGTCTGTACAAGAGCTGACTCTACATTAGACTTCTGAGACTAAATAAAAACAGAATTGCTGATTGAATGTAAGTTATACTAAAAGCCTGTAAAAGGACAGTGACACACTTCACATCTCAGTATCACCACCAGTTGATAACAAAATAAAATAAACAAGAAGCCTCAGGAATACAGATGTACAATTGCCTGTACCRGCAGCCACATGTTGCACACTAGTAGTACTTAAAACTAGGCAGAAAAGACAACAGGAATATAAGAGTTTATTAAGCCAACAGCTTCTATGTGGTTTTGCTCACTAGATACAATTACTAGTAGGGCATCTTAAAGTACTTCTGTGCCTTGTGGTACCTGATATTTAAAACAAAAGACCAAGTTCAAATAAAGGAAGTCTTAAAAGACGACGTCAGATTTTTGACTCTGAGGCAAATAAAGTGGGAGTAAATATCACCTGACAAAGCAGATTTATGGGCAAATATGCTGTTATAYCTTAGTTTCCAAATACCCTAAGAGCAGTATAAGTTACTCAGTGACGCGAGTAGCGGCGTATTTTCTGAAAAACACCAACACTGACCTTAGCAGTCATATTCAGAACAGAAAGAARGAAAAAAAGTTGAAACTTCAGCAATTAGAGCAAGAAAGATATAGGTAGATTTGCAGGAGCAGAATATTGGGAAAGGAGGCAAACAAACAAAAAAATCTGACTTCTCTGAACTTGTAAATTCCCACTCCGTTCAATTATCTTGAGCCTGTCTGGCCAGCATAGTTGCAAAACTTGGCAAGGATTTTAACTGAATTTGTTTTTCTGCTTTTGAGTGGTCAAAAAGACAGACCGTGTAAGAAAAGCTTCATCCCCTATTACTAGCATCTGTAATTATTTTAGCTTTATTATGTGACCAAGTTAATTACAAACAAGTCCAGAATTATTTATGTGCTTCACAGCGTTGGCTTTGGTCTGAACATCACATTCAAACATAAAGCTAGTTCTCCCTAGCACCTGGAGCCAAGTAAGTAGTCCAGGTAATTTACAGCCATATGCATTTAAAGGCCCAAATTCCAACTACACCGAAACCTGAGCCAATATCAGGAAAAAGAAGCTTTTCCTTCAACATGTTAAACAATGAAAGCGTCATTTTGAGGATTAATAAAGAGGCTCATTTCAAACCATCAAGTATCAGCCCATCTTGTCATAATGATCCAGTTTTAGTCCTGATTGTTACTATCATATTAAATAATAATAAGCAAAATAAAATATAAAAGGACTGATTATTCAAGGCGAGAGAAAATAATTTCATAATAAGTTTCAATAATTGTACAATCCAACAGCAGTTTCCAGCTTATTCCAAGCCTGACTTTGCATCAGCTGTTTCTCGTTTTCTGAACTTTTAATGAAAAGTAAATGGCTTTGGCAGTGCCACCTAATATCCAAAAAAATGTTTTTAAGGTCTTCCCAGTCATGCTCCTTATTATGAAAACAGAAATGCTGACATGAATAAAGGAATAAAGGAACAGATAAAGGAAAAAAAAAAAAAAAAAAA